CTCCGAGTTCTTTCTGAAGTAGAAAGAGCCGACAGCCATTGGCAGCCGGAGAAGAAGCCGGGAGTGGCACCCTCTTCTATTCAAGAACATGGTGCTCAAAACCATTACAGTTCTGTTGGCACCCGAGGCAGAAAAGTCCATAAAAACCACTCCCCACCACAGAGAAGAACAACGCGGCCATCAACAATGGTGTGGCTGACCATTTTTCGGAAGCCAAAACCTGCTCCTTTGCTCTGCCCAACTCTGAAAAGAATCACCGATCCCTCAGGACTGCTAACGAAGCAAAAGACAATTAATGGTGCATTGCTGCAAATGACCGATCACCTCCCCTTCAGACTATATATGTGCACTTTTGTTGAATAATTAAAGTCTACTGGCGTACATGTCAAATTAGCCCCCACTGCCATTCACATCTTGGCTGTACTGTATCTATAGTGAATTATCTTCCGGTCAACACAGCCAGGAAAGCCAAGGGGGCCTTAGCTAGACCCGAATCGGAGCATTTTGCAACATATCTGGAGATGGCGGCCTTCCTATATCCCCATTTCAAATGCACGAGTATCCTTTGAGCCCAAAGCTGGCTGGAGCGAGCCATTTCTAACCGTTCTGCTAATCCCATGGTGGCCGCAAGATGTCAAAGTCTTGTTTTAAATATGGCGGATGGGGTTTCCCCTTCAAGAAAAGGGGTGGTGGGTCCATTTGTAAATAGAGAAAAGCATGTCCCTCAAGTTAAGGAAAGACGGCCGGTCTTCAGGGTGGCCCTTCCAGCATTCAAGCATGAGACTGTAAATTTCGGGAGAGCAGCTGTTCGGACGAGGGAGGCGGTAGCCTCGAGAAATCTGCTGGATAGTTTCTTGGTTGGTCATCCCTGGAAGAAGATATATGTATTAATAAACAACCAAGTTAACTGGAAAGTCACATTTCAATGGGAATTTGCGTTATTTTCTGATCCAGATGGCATAAAAGAGCACCGAGTGGAAAAAAATATGAACGCAACAATGCAGCAGTTCTTAGCTGTGTTTTTAGGCAGGGTTGTTCCAAGACAGCTTACTGCGTGAGGTGATTCAACAAATACTCATATGCCGCCACACCCCCACAAGCATTTTGGGTGGACAAGTTCTGCATATGACATAATTTTTTTTTAAAAAATCCTAAAGTAACACATGAATGTAACTAGAAGGTGTTAATGATGGCACCAATAAAGTAACTTGATTCCTACTCTTTATGTTACTTTTTGAACCTAACTTTACGACACCCGCATCGCTCCCCAAAGCAACTATTTACAGTTGTTGGTTTTTTTTACCTCCAATGATCGTCTGCCTTCATACAGACATTGTCCATTGGTAAAAACGCAAGTAAACAACATACAGTAGGTCAAAAATCTCACCGAAGGCCCCCTACAAAGTTCCCAAGGCTGGAAGAGCACATGTTGAGGAATTTACATTGTGCCGTAAAACATAAGAAACAGTGCCCACGCCCAAAGAACTGCATGTTAGGAGATGGAAGAAGAAAGTTTGGAAAATTATTTTAAAGAGGTAATGTATCCCCTTGACTTGTTGCAGTGTTAAAGTAAACCACTGCCATTATAAGTTGCAGTGGTGAAATAGTACCTTGCTTATGTTACCTGTTCCACTGATGGTTATTTGTTATTAGCTTCCATAACTTTTTGTTTTTTAAACACAGTGTTTTCGGTGGACAGGCGTATCCCATAAAAATTTAAAAATTCTAAAGTAACGTTTGACGGTAACTAGATGGTAACTACACTGATAACTTCATTCCTGCTCTTTATGTTGTTTCTGCAATGTAACTTTATCTCAGCTCTTTTGCAGATAAGGGTGTTGTCGTTGCTTCCGATGATCTCCTACCTTCGTACGGACATTGTCCATAGGTGAAAACCTCATAGAGGAGAATCCCATAGGACCACACATCTGATTTCAGCGAGTAAGTCTGGTAGATGGCTGCTTCGGGAGCTGTCCATTTCACAGGGATCATGACGTTGCTCGTGGTGGAGTAAATGTCATCCTGGAAGGAAGGGAGAAACAAGCCCTTAACAGAAGGCATCTTGGGAGAGAAACCTTTTGGACCACAACTCCCAGAATGCCCCAGCCAACAGAGCCATTGTCCCTGCTGTTTGGGGGATTCTGGGAGTTGCAGTCAAAACAATTTTTTTTTTTTGGCCAAGGATTGCAAAATTCATAGACAGATCGGGAGGAATGAAAAACAGCCAGGAGGCTGTTTCGTATTCACACACGCAGAATGGTTTCAGTTCTAGGCTTCAAGGAAACGGAGCCACTGGAGAGATGAACGGGTGGGTGTCCGTGAACCAACCTTGAGGAGCCTGGCGAGGCCAAAATCTGCTATTTTGCAAGCCAGGTCATCTCCCACCAAGATGTTTCTGGCCGCCAAGTCTCTGTGCACGACGTGTTGCTCTTCCAGGTAAGTCATCCCATCAGCCACTTGGCAAGAAATGCTGAGCAGGTGATGAGTGGTCAGTTCCTGGCCTGCAGCACCTGGGAGGGAAAACAGAAGAGGTGTGAGAGAATCCTTCTTAATCCCCAAATATTTTCAAGTCCCTTTTGCTGTTGGGCATTTCTAATCTTAATACAGAGAGTGCAAAACAGGATGTTTGTAGATGAAGCCTCTGTCTTCATACCTGGCTCTGCGCTCAGTCATTTTTTTTCACCATCCACATGACAGAAGGCTTATCCCATCACATTCCCTGCTTTTTTCATGTCTTTCCTTGAGTTTTTGTCTCATCCTTCCATGTGATTGATTTTATTCTCACTTTAGTGCTGTGGGGTTTCCCACAGAAGTTCATGTCTGCAGTCAAAGCTTCCTACTCGGAAGCTCTCTGTTAGGGTTTCAGTTAACACACAAACACACATGCAAACAAATGTAGCACAAGAAGAGAACTTCTGTCTGTCTGTCTGTCTGTCTGT